AAGAAATGTGTAAATCTATTATTATGCACTAAAAACTGGTATGTACATTAGAATATCAAGAAATGTGTAAATCTATTATTATGCACTAAAAACTGGTATGTACATTAGAATATCAAGAAATGTGTAAATCTATTATTATGCACTAAAAACTGGTCTGTACATTAGAATATCAAGAAATGTGTAAATCTATTATTATGCACTAAAAACTGGTCTGTACATTAGAATATCAAGAAATGTGTAAATCTATTATTATGCACTAAAAACTGGTATGTACATTAGAATATCAAGAAATGTGTAAATCTATTATTATGCACTAAAAACTGGTATGTACATTAGGAAATGGCGTCAGGTAATGCCCACCTCAAGGTACCTCCCCGCTTAGCCCGAAAAGTCCCCTAACTATCGGGCCGCAAAGCGGCATGTTTGAGATCTCCTCTTGCTAGGACGCCCCGCTCGTAACTTTATTCGATTGTCTAGCTTTAAGGGGGGCACTATCATCCTAAGTGGGCACAATCAGCCTAAGTGGGCACTATCACCCTAAGGACACCCGGTTGGGCGATGGTGTTGTTCTCACAACAGCAGCCATTGACCTTCCCGGGAATAGACTTTGCAAGCCCATTTGTTGTATGGATTATATTGCTACTGGTACCGTGAAATGGGGTGATTTCCCCTCAAGAGGTGACTTTGGGGCCATCCATAAATGACGTCACGCAAACTTTGCCGATATTTTTACCCCCCCCCCCAACCACCACCATCGTCACAAAAACAAATATAGCGTCACAAATCTCTGCACCCCCATCCCCTATAAAATTTCCCTGCGTCCACTACTGTCCTTTATAAACCCTTAAGAAATACACCTCCCGTGGATATCAAATTACTGTACCTGGGTCAGAAAATTTCACTAGCATAATGGTTCTTAACCATGGGTAAAAGTACTTCCCCTGAGGTGTGGAAGACCAGAAAATTTTATTCAGTGGCGTAGCTAGGGGGTCACCGGGTGACACCATCTCAGAGGGTGACACCATCTCAGGGGGTGACACCAAATTGAAAAATTGCGTATTTACAGAGCACACACTGCTCGGTCTAACCGAAATTCATAAAACATATAACCATTTTTTTGTGTTCCATCCCACTTCACGTGGGAGTCCTGATTCAATGACTCCCGTGTCCACATTTAGTATTGGTGTACAATAGCATAAAATAAGCTTATTCAAATTCTATCAACTTCATATACACCAGTTCAGGATCATATGTTACTTATAATTTATAATAAGCTGAATGATAATGACATGGTGAAAGTTTAAACTTGATATAATATTATCCTTGATTCATTACAACGCCATTACAAGATCTCAGTGGCTTGTACACTGCTACTTAGATTTAACAAAAATAGTAACAGAATCTAAGATATATATATTTTTGTTTGAAAATAATTGTTTGATATTTGGCAACAATTGGTTTTATGATTAAAAGATGTCACTTAAGTTGGATTAATGATGAAGTAGACAGGTAATGGCCTTTTAAAAAAAAAACATAAAATATAGTTTAATTTTAAAATTTCAGTGGAAAAAGCTGACAAGTCACAAATTTGTGCCGGCCTGTTATTAAGCTGTAAAAATATAGTAAACTGCCACAAAATATTTAGTTACTGATACATTTCCAAAGTAAAATGGTTTCACTAAATATAAACAAAATTATAGCATTTTATTTTTACATGTGAAAATGTTGGATACCTTCAAACTTTAAAATCCGCTTTTCTCAAAATCTTCAAAATGTGAAACGTGTCTGGTTTTTCCGCTGAGGTCTTCGTACCGTATTTAAAGCTTCTTTTTTTTAATGGTTATTTGTTTTAATATTAAAAGGTATAACAAAGTTCAAAGCTGTGCAATAATTGGGTTTTGGTATATTGAAAGCACAATAAACCGATTGCTACTTCTTCATATGGTTTGTTCTCTTTTGGATAAGTGATTAGTTAGTTGCGTTTGGCTAGGAATTTTCGTTGCCCGGTGCTTAGTGGTTTGAACAGCATTTTGTTATTAAAAAATATTTTAAAACTTAAAATTTGCATTATTTTTTTTTTTTTTTTTTATAACAATAAGCCTAAATTTTTTGAATAAAAAATAATTAAAAATTTTTATATTTTTAAAATAAAAATTTAAATTGTTTTTTTTTTTAATTTAATTCAAAAACTTAGTGGTTTGAACAGCATTTTGTTATTAAAAAATATTTTAAAACTTAAAATTTGCATTATTTTTTTTTTTTTTTTCATAACAGTAGGCCTACATTTTTGGAATAAAACATAATTAAAACTTATTATATGTTTAAAATAAAAATTTAAATTGTTATTTCTTTGAGTTCAATCGAAAATTTAATTTGATGTGTTTGACGACATTAATTGGATACTGGTAATTTTTAAAAAAATAATAATTTTGAACTTTAAAAAAATATTATTTTTTGAGGGTTATCACGATAAATTACGAATTAGGTATATAAACATTAATTAATTTATTTTAAAAATCTTAACTCTTACATTCAGATAAAGTAATCAAAATAGTTCTTTTTAATTGTTAATTAAATGTAATTTCTAATTTATAATAATAATACTTAGACATATATAGGTCTACTATAAGCAGATTTTTTTTTAAAATTTAAAATGTTCGATTTCCGAAAAAAACAACAACAAAAAACTATCATTTTGTTAAACATCGGATGTATTTTAAATTGATTCGTTTTTAGCGGTGTATGGATACCAATGCTCATTCTTATATACTATAAAATACCCACGTCATGCTTGATAGGAGTAGGGATCTACTGTTCTACACATACTGTACAGATAAACAACAGCGTCAGTTAACAATTAATATGTTTTTATGATGGCAATGCTCTTAACGCAATCTGACACTTTCTTAGTCTTAGTGTCGAATACTTAAGGACAATGATCATGGCCAGGGTTTCTTTCAGCTATATCTCCCGGGGGGGGGCACTCCCCCCTCCCGGGAAAAGCCAAGTGCCCCCCCCCCCCCGAAAAATCTGAAGTGCCCCCAGCCCCCCGGGGGAAATTTCTGAAATAATCACTGATCATGGCTCTGTCTACAGTCTGCATTTTACTACAGTTCATTCGATTCAATTGTTAATTCAAGAATTTCATCGAAGAAGCTTTAAAGATTTATTCGAAAATATATTTACATCTAGAATTATTCACTTGTAGGAGAAAAATTACTTTTACAAAGTTAATTTTATTTTTCAACAATATATCTTTCGATTAATAACATTACACTAATACTAATAGTCATCAACAAATCAAGGCCACAATGTCCGACGTATTTTTCAACCGAACGACTGGTCACGTGGTCACGTACGTCCATTTTGGGTGCCGATGAAATACGGTCCCAGTGGAGCTACAGTCTAAACAGTTAAAAAATGCCGGAAATCGGGATCGCCTTCAAATTCTTTTCTTTGAGAGTCTCAGCTAATTAAAAGACAAAAGAAGCCCACAGCAGGAAGAGGGAGGCGCACTGTGAGGGAATGTGCCGAGAATAGACGGTGGATATCGCTCTGATCCTTTGCTCGTGCTGACCAAAGCCGACAGCGAGACAATGAGACTGCATTAAAGGAAACGAAGTCGCCGACAGTAGACCCAAATGACCCCCTACACTCACACACTTTCCCCCTATCAAATAATAAAAAAAGTCAACCTAAAAACAAAAAAATAGGCAATGGCATGATGCAAGAGCTTTCATGTTGGTTTTTTTTGGTGGAAAGGTGAGAATGGCCCTGAGTGGATGTAGTCATATTAGAAGTAGGCTACGTAGTTTGGTGTTAGCGAATAACAAACTGAAGATTATTATTTTTAAAGCGTTTGGTTGGTGGTAATGGGCCGTTATGAAAACTGGAGAGTATAAAATGTTAATGCAAAAAAATATTTTGTTATGGCGCTTTGTGCTGAATCTTGTTTTCTTTGCTAATAAATCTTGCCTTTGTACAAAATAATGTTTAATGATAAATACCAGGTACCGGTACACAGAATGGCCATTGGCATAAAGCGAACATATGAAGTGAACTTTTATTGTTTAATCATGCCATCTAGAAGTATCTTTAAACAACAACAACAAGAACAAAAACAACAACCTAAACCCAAGAAATAACTGATGACTTCTCTCAAACTTCTGAACACGTTAGTCGTAGGACTGGTGCGGAGGGAAGAGGTGCAGAACCACCCACCTTGGTCGCATGGTCCACAGCCTTGTACTTTATCCACTTAACAATTAATTAACAATATAAATGCAATGAAATCGCAAAGATATCATTTTTAAAATGAGGATCGGTGAGTAGGTTGGAGGAGGGGGGGGGCACATATATGGTTCCAGGGGCAATAAAAACAAGTCGTTAAGACTCCTACCAGTGACCAGCCAGACCTCTTCAAGACATTCAAGATGGGGAAACAAAATAATGAAGTGGAATTGAAATCGAATGCCTGACGGTACTGGAATTCCAGCACAAAGCTGTCGCTAAACAAAGAAATGTTTGTTACGACAAGATCAGAGGTCTTCACTATCTCACAATCCCAGATTTCCCTCGACCAGACCGATCCCGGAAAGTCTTTCTCATGTCCACTCTTCGGTAGGTCACCTTCGCAATGTGTGCACTCTACGCGAGGTCACACGCCGAGTCAAGGCTTGGCTCCAGTCCCATGGTTGTCCCCCACTACAAGACTCCCCCCCCCCCCCCCCCTCTTTTTCCCCCCCCTCCCCCCCACTACAAGCCTCCCCCCCCCCCAAATTGTTATTGACCACTTGTCCCACCAAGTTGTTAATTAGACATGGTCTCTATTAATTACGTGTGCACCACGACGATAGAGGTGTTATTGTTGTTTCTTGTTTGACGTGACCATCTGTTGTTTTTTTTTTCTTCTTCTTTACTGTAAAGTCTGACTCGCTACGTCACGAACGAGTCCTTCTTTGTGGGCGGGATATAAAAACCGCTGGACGAGAACAGACGGTATTCAACACGAGCATCAAGCGAGTCTTTCAACCATTTCTCTTGTTGCCTCGACTGGCGTATCCTGTACCGATACAAGTCTTTGCTAATTGGAGCGGTTATACTCTCATTTGTGCGCGCGTGTGTTCTTGAGTTAGGAACATTGTTAATTAGGAATGAGATGGGGGACACGAAGACCCAACAAACACTCGCAGCTGTTGGGCTTGATTACGTGTCGCTGACAAGCCAAGCTCCACGGATGTCTTCGACGACGGACAGCAGTGAGGAGTCAGGGTAAGAAGAGGATTATCGTGCTGCTTCTGTGCTTTCCCTAGGAATGATGATTTTTGAAGAGAAGAGGTTTGCATTGGCGTAGTGTAACACATTAACTGAAAAGTAAATAACAGAGAACCGGCGACGTACGACGGCGTACGACTGAAAGTACCGGTATTGTAGACTTTTGAGGTTGTTACTTAGTTCGGCGATATTTGGAGTGTTCATATACGGATTTCAGAGAGATTTCAGGGGGATTTCACAGAGATTTCGGAGAGATTTCAGGGGGATTTCACAGAGATTTCGGAGAGATTTCAGGGTGTTGTTGAAATTAAAAGTTTGAAAACCAATTTTCTTCACCACTCATTTTCTGTTTGTTACATAACATAATCTATCGTAAACTCCATAAATCTATCATAAGCTCCATACAATATATCATAAGCTCCATACAATCTACCATAAGCTCCATACAATCTATCATAAGCGCCATACAATCTATCATAAGCTCCATACAATCTATCATAAGCTCCATACAATCTATCATAAGCTCCATACAATCCATTATAAGCTTCATACAATCCATCATCAGCTCCATTTCACTCTCCAAGGGGTCATTGTAACAAACAAAGGTCAAGCAACATTGCTTTAGATGATTAAATTTCCAAGTAGCCCTCCCCATCCCTCTTTTTTATTCCCCGAAAATAAAATAATGAAATCCCCTGTACGTCCCATTTATCAAATGTGTCCAAAACATGAGATCATCATCCAATCAGAGAATTCAAATTATATACATATCCAAAAATAACCACGGATCAATCTATTCCAGCTTTAAACAACTGCTGAATATTGGTGATCGTTTTCTTCTCTGTGACGTCATGCTCTAGGCTCTCTGTTATATTAAAGATTTACAGCAACAGCAAAAAATAGTTTTTAGTTGGCATGGGCTATAAATAATCATTTGTAAAAAAAAATAAAAAATTAATGTGTTTTCCCAAACTCTATTTCTGTTCAAACAATCAAACGTTACAACTTTTTCGGGTTGAACGTTGCCGAATCGATCATAACACCGGACACCGGATCATAACACCGGATCATAACACCGGACACCGGATCATAACACCGGACACCGGATCATAACACCGGACACCGGATCATAACACCGGATCATAACTCCTAACACCGGACACCGGATCATAACACCGGACACCGGATCATAACACCGGACACCGGATCATAACACCGGACACCGGATCATAACACCGGACTACGGATCATAACACCGGACACCGGATCATAACACCGGACACCGGATCATAACACCGGACTAAATTACAATTTATAAAGTGACAAAAGTATAGGCCAAAGTTCAAATGTCATAATAAAAGTGTGCTAATAAAACTATAGCTGTCATAAGATCTGTGAAATAATTAAAAAAAATATAATTTTAAACTTTATTTTGAAGAAGCGAGAAGAGACAGTGAGTGCCTGGGAGGCATATTTAAATTCATTTACTGAGAATACTGTGATTTTAATCCGCACCACAGGAAAAAAAATGTGGGAATAGCATGTTTTGGTTTTCAACAACTCAACTTCCGCTTCCAACCATACAATAGAGCTCTCCCTGTTCTGAACATTGAGCTACGTAAACTGAATTGAGATCTTTAGAGACGCAATTTTAATTTTTAATTTACATTTATCTGCTGTTTATTGTACTATGTCGTCTGCTGAGGAAGGCATCTAGTCGAAACGTCCGCTCTTCAAGCCTAAACATATCTTGTTCCAAAATGTTTCCAATGTAACAGCACATTCTAGTCAGTTCAAATTCTGATTTTTTTAATCACGCTTCGTGCTCCTTGGAATTTAAATGACTTATCAGTGCAATCACTAGGGGTCGAGTGCTAGAAGTGTGGACTCTCACCGAAGGTCCCCCAACCCCCAACTTTATTAGTAAAGGTACAGGTCGTTCCCAAGTATTCCTGCATGACTCGAGCCCCGGCAATCAATATTCAATGAAGGACATGTAGTTCCAATCTGCACATTAATTTGAAAATAAAATTTAACATCGCCAACTACTTGAAATTGAATGTATTTAATGTAACATTACATATACCGGGTATGCCGAATAAAAAAAGTCTCTAGTTCCATTTCACAGACGACTGTTATAGTTCTCACTTAGGCCTGGCATGCGTTACTCATATAGGCTTGGCCTGCTTTATTATTTCTCTAGGTTAGTTATCAGTTAGTTATTTGATTTTCTATTTTCACCAACATATTGTTTTGTCCATTGCCAGCCCCGGGCTATCTCCATGGAAGGATTTAAACCTAAGTCAAATTCTACTGCCCGTCCTGTGCGGTGGCTTCATAGCCGTCGTCATCTTTGTGATAGCGTGCTGTCTCACCAAGAGAAAGGCCAAGTAAGTAGATTTTTTTTTTTTTTGTATTATTTAGAAGCACAACAAAACCACACAAACAAACACACACACACACACACACACACACCCACACACAAAAACACAGCTATACAGTTTAAACATTATGAAGGTAAAAAAAGGATCAATTAACGACTGAAGAATTAACACACTAATAACAAAACAGCTGTGACGTCATTGTAACAAAACAGCTGTGACGTCATAGACAGTAACATTTATGGCCATCAAAATGACAAACCCAAAAACTGTAGGTGTTGAGAGAAATCAGAGAACTGTTTGCCACTTTTGTAAGGGTTTAGTGCGTAGCTAAGAAGTGATGCACTCAGGAGCACTCTCGACAGCTTTTACGTTAGACATTAAAAGAAATTTGAAGCAAAATTTTACCGTGTGAACTGAAAAAAAGATTCAACCTAATTTCCGTCCATCAATTTTCCGTCGACGAAATTTCTTTCGATCAAATTTCCGGATACGAAAATATGATGCAAACAGACAAGAGTATCGGGCTTAATATGTGTCAGCTTTCCCATTGGTTCGGTCCACCAATACCAACAAAAAAAAAAAAAAAAAAGAAAGATTTATTACGCAATCATATTGAAAGTTACAGAATCGTGTTAACTTAACACAAAGCTTGGAGTCATGGGCGCCCGCAAGGGGGGGGGGGACTTAAACCCCCCCCCCCCCTGGTTTGATTGGATAAAAAAATGTAGACAAAAATAGACAAAAAATGTATTAAAGTAAAGAGAAAATAAAGAGAATGTAACTAAGCTGATGTCCTTCCCGTTCGTTCACCATACAAAGACGATACAATAAATTAAAACTACATCAAAACATTACTAAAAGTTTTTGGCCCCCCCCCCTAGAAAGTTTTCTGCGAGCGCCAGTTTAAGATAAAGAAATAGAATTAATAATAGTGTCCTGAACACAGGAGGGAAAGGTGGTTGGTGGGGGCACAAACAATTAAGTTTAATATTATAGTTAGATGTAAAGTAATGTATGATGTATAGGCTCTCATGTTCCAGCTAACATTAAGTCACGCCCACTGGTTAGTGTTTGACTCAACACAGCTTGTGTAGTAGCCCACTGGTTAGTGTTTGACTCAACACAGCTTGTGTAGTAGCCCACTGGTTAGTGTTTGACTCAACACAGCTTGTGTAGTAGCCCACTGGTTAGTGTTTGACTCAACACAGCTTGCGTAGTATCCCATTAATGAAATATATATATTTCAATGACCCTGTCCGTCGACTTCGTGTTAAATGCTGCCGCTTCCAATGGCAGTGTATATCCCTCCCTTCAAATACCCTATACCAGCAGGATTGAACCCTGAAGACCTAGTGAGACCCTCCTATTACCTATTGGTCCCGGTTTAACTGGTGACGTTATGACTGGTCCCATTTTTGAAGCATGGTAAGACCAGGGCCATCGCGTCACCTTTGGAGGCCCCCTACTCCACTTTTCGGTTTTCTGTAACTTGCATTCAAAGTTGACAGTTTACTTTTTGTTCACATCAAAACTTTAGGTAGGCCCCTTAAATATCCACCCCCCCCCTCCACTGGCAGCTCCAGCGATTGTAGGGCAGACGCGACGGCCCTGGGTGATAAAATCTTAGAAAATACTTTCGTATGGAAATAAACAATTAAATCTAATGGTGAAGTGTCTAATTAATAACCTGCCAAATGATTACGGGCCCTGCTGTACATTTCCGAACCCTTTCTTAGTGTATAGACCTATAATATGATAAAATGAAAGAAAGAAAACCGAACCAACCCCTGGTGCTGGTCAGCACTTGCGCCCCCTGGTGGCCGCCCAATGCCTTCGGTGTTCAAGATGCTGTAAGTAGCATACCTCGCTCTCGAAAAGTGTCAGCCATTAGCAGGAAATGTCGCCATTAAGTGCGGGGCTGATTATGAAGGTCTGTGGTTAATTTATCAGCACCAAAAAGCCAGACTATAGAGTTGGGATGAAGTGGCTTTTGAAGTTCGTCCTTCACTGGACTACCTGATTAAAGCAATGGGGGGGGGCAACATGGAAAGGGGAAAAACTATCAGATGATGCTATATTAACTCTACACTGATGTATAGACTATATACCACACCAATAAGACTCCGAGTGGTTAACAGTACATTTAGCCACACCCACAGTGCCGGACAGAAACCCACTAACCGGAAAATTAAGGGGTCATTAAAATGACATTTTAGACATAGTTAGATCAGCTTCTGAGCAAGCATAGAAATATTATTCTTGGAAAGTTTTTCATTTACCCTGCTCCCATCTGACCTTGACCCGTGTGTCCAAACCCACAAGTCAATCAAGAAGTTTATAGGCACCTTATGCTACAACCAGTGTCCTGGGGCTCAAGATAGAATAAGGTGGGTGGGTGGGTGGGGGGAGACTCGAGATTAGGGGCGGGCAATACTCACGTAACGCAGACGATGCTAGCGGAGCCCTAAGGAGCGACCATTGAACATACAGGAGAGTACAAAGGATAATTTTACTTTTCTAAAGCTGATTTCTCTTTAGCCGCAAGGTCCCCACTGTGTCTGTGTGTGAGGTCGCGGGTGCATTGTATGAGTTACACGTTAAACCTTATATTTGGTCGATACATAATATCTATATATTAAATGAATAGGTGGAACAATGTAAATGCTATTTATTTAGTGAATAGGTGGAACAATGAAAAGGGTGCACAATTTAAGTCATGACTTAAGAGTACCTGAGCCTAAAGTGAAGGACAAAAAATGGGATAGGAGGCAAAAGCAATCGACTGTTTATGGCTTGGAGTTGCTATATCTGGGGCAGGGTTGGGGGGGGGGGGCTGGTCGTGGGTTCAGTCATGTCAGATGTGCCTAAAGTTTCCTCACAATAATTTAATTCTAACGTTATTTCAACGAGCCTTCTGTTGTATCATGACGTTATTTAAACGGGCCTTCTAAGGAGGCAAAAGCAATCGACTGTTTATGGCTTGGAGTTGCTATATCTGGGGCAGGGTTGGGGGGGGGGGGCTGGTCGTGGGTTCAGTCATGTCAGATATGCCTAAAGTTTCCTCACAATAATTTAATTCTAACGTTATTTCAACGAGCCTTCTGTTGTATCATGACGTTATTTAAACGAGCCTTCTGTTGTATCATGACGTTATTTAAACGAGCCTTCTGTTGTATCATGACGTTATTTAAACGAGCCTTCTGTTGTATCATGACGTTATTTCAACGAGCCTTCTGTTGTATCATGACGTTATTTAAACGAGCCTTCTGTTGTATCATGACGTTATTTAAACGAGCCTTCTGTTGTATCATGTTTCACACAGACCTTTCCGGAGACGGCGAGAAAGGAGTTGTCATACCATTGAAACGTCACACGATACGTCAGAGTATGGCATATATGACGTCATCGATCAGGTAAAAATTTGCTTTGTAATTTTAATATAGAAACAAGACGGGTAGGTTGCAAGGCTCAAAATGAAACTGGTTAACATACCTAAAATGTTTCAACTAAGTACAATTCATATGAGAACTATGTTTTAAATGTACCCACTAGACTTGGATGACCAAATCATGAACTGGAAAAAACGGGACACACCCAAGGTGGGTTTGTGGGGATACGCTCCAGCTAAAGGGAGGGCTGGGGGCCTGCGCCGGAAAATGTTGATTGAAATATGCTCATTTTAAATATTTTGAGACCTAGAAATCTTTTTAAATGTAATTTAACTTTTGTAATTTAATTTAAACCCTGAAGCATATCATAAACGAAAACAACAATTTTGCAATGAATACTTATTTATTTATACATATTTTACAACATAATGCAACACAACAAATTAAATGTCTCTAGTCTAGGATTTAAATTGAGGATATTTGGATGTTGTCCCAGCCATTGTTAAAACCTCCTTCTGATCTAATATAAAGTTGTCAAAACTAGAAAAGTCCATTTCGAAATTGTAGAGCACCTGCAGGATTGCAGAAAGGGCCTCCACTCTCATTTTGTTTCTTTCGTCCGTCCATTGAATGTTCATGAGCGACAAGATTCTTTCAGTATTACCATTATGGGCAGGGATCGCAAACACTTATTGGCACACAGCTTTCCAAAATATTACAAGAAGTTATATTATAAATTATGAAGTTTACGTGATTTGAAAATGTGTTTGGTTTTAGAAACGGGACATTTGGGCGTCCCGATAGACTTTTTCGGGACACCGGGTACGATCGTGAAAAAACGGGACAATCCCTACACTAGACTGACTAGTCTAGAGCGTCATTTTGATTAGACATTTTATAAATAATATATTTATATAAATTGGTAACTTTTTTTTCAGGTTAAAGGTAAATCAAAATCCAGTGAAAAGTCCCGTCGTCAAGACAAACTTACTTCAAACTGCATTCTCGCTTCCCAAAACGAGCTGGGGCGGAGCAAGACTGGGGACATCTTCACCACTCCGCTGTCGGCACTGCCTCTCAGCGCGAAGCTCGACAGCCTACTCACACCCAGCCTGCCAGAGTGCACCAAACACGATTGGAAAAAATTTGACCGCAAATTCGAGGCAAGCGACCTGAGCCTGCCACATAATGGGACAAAGTTGCCCAACAGCTCACACGAAGAAGAGGAGGGCATCTATGAAACTCTTGACCGCTACTGGACGTTAACAAGCTCTCTGAAAAAAGACCTGTCCGTCCAGCTTGCGACTACAAACGATTTACCCGGAAGCGATGAAACGCTGAAAGTCGGATCCCCTATGATTAAAGAAGAATGTTCAGGGAACCCTCCAAGCTACAACCCCAAAGTTGACAGTGGCTCTCATCATTTTCAAAATGTGCCCGCCAACTTCAGTCAGACCGCAGCGGAAAGAGTCTGTGATGATAAAATCCTGTGCCAGCTGACACTCTTTCATATCTCCAACACGGATGAGTCATCAAGACAAGCCGAGACCGTATATTACTATGTTAACCTACAGAGCCTGTCCATCGACCGCACGGACAGCCTGCCCTCGGTGCTACAGAACGCGCGACTGCAGGTTCTGCCGGACCAGGAAAACAAAGAAAACAAATCATCCTCTCGGAGCATCACGCTTGAGCCGGTCGAGAGCGCCATGGTCCCCATGTTGAATGAATCTGTGTATTCGACTCAGAGTGCCTCGGAAAGCACACACAAACGCAAAGTCTCCATTCCCAAATCCAGCTCCCCGGGCTATGAGCAGCCACCACGGACATGCTCAAAGCGCACACCAATTCTTTTGGCGAAGAAATCCGAAAGCTTCAGAGACGCTAATACTGAGCTGCAGGCAGCTAAAGACAATTTTCTCCATTGCAGAAGACGAAGCGATTCGAGCAACTCTGAGGTCCAGGCGCCGACTCCGGTAGTATCCCCCACAAAAGTTGGGCCCGAGGCGGAGAAAATCATTCGAAAGTTGGGGCCTCTGCCACCTGTGCCGGGGCCTCTGCCACCTGTGCCGGGGTTTCGGCCACCCCTGTGTAGGGCTGAGTCGGAAAACGGGGGTCGTTTGAGACACGCTGCTCGCATCGCAGGGATGGATGTGAATCCGTCACAAAATTTTAACAAAAAACATTCATCTAGGCCGCTTCCATTGAGCCCCGACGGCAACAATTTCAGCCGACACCGAATTGAGCGGTCCGCGTCAGAAGTTGCCTTTAACAGGTGCGAGGTGGAGGAAGTAGGCCTACCTGGAACAGGAGAAGCCCTGACGCCTGAAGCAAGTGGTAGGGTAGATGGCGAGGCAAACGGTGAAGATTTCTGCGGTTCAAAGGTCGCCATGAAACAAAGTTCAAAACTCGTTTCAGATAATGATTTGCAACAAAGTACTTCCGACGTGGACAGTCTAGTCATGCGTGATGTGGGCAGTGACAGTCATTACTTTGTGCTGGAGCCTCACTGCACCTCAGACTCAAGTGATAACAGCAGTGAGGGGGAGGATGGGGATGATGCTTGTACACTTTAAGAGGATCGCTGGTGGTGAGACATAGAAAGTGATCCGTACATAAAGAGATATATAAAGAAATATTAGAGGAACATTGTGTGTCCAAGTAACCAAAGCTTGACAATCAAGACGATGCTTCTATTATGGTGATGTGGCGTTATCTACAACGGTGACCGCCTGCAACAGTTTTGGTTGTCCTCATTATTTATTTCTACTTGCATCGAGCTATAAACACGACCAGATTCAATCTTCCTGAAACAGTGAACGACACATTATATCTTCCTGAAACAGTGAACGACACATTATATCTTCCTCAAGCATCGGTTGACAGATTATATCTTCCTGACGCACTGAATGACAGATTAAAATTAGATCTTCATGAAACTTTGGTTGACAGATTTGCACTCCCATAAAATACCAACATTTTATTCCCAAATGTTTTCTTAAAGTTACAAAGATCATACATTTTACAAACAAATTTACACGGTAACGTGTATGTGAATTTCTTTTAATTTGAGTTGAATTGTATCACTAAATGACAATTGACACCAGTGTTTAAACATGTATTTGTTATTCGATTGTTAAAAAGGATTTTAAAGGTAGATTTAGCTCAAAATTATTGCACACATACGCTGCTAAGAGCAGAGCCGTTGAACTAGTACAGTTAAGTGTTCAAGGGCTGAAATGTTTTAACAAAGGCAAGTTAGCTGAGAGTCATATTCTATCACCTGCATTAGCTGAGAGTCCCATTCTATCATCTGCATTAGCTGAGAGTCCCATTCTATCATCTGCATTAGCTGAGAGTCCCATTCTATCATCTGCATTAGCTGAGAGTCCCATTCTATCATCTGCATTCTGCATTAGCTGAGAGTCCCATTCTATCATCTGCATTAGCTGAGAGTCCCATTCTATCATCTGCATTAGCTGAGAGTCCCATTCTATCATCTGCATTAGCTGAGAGTCCCATTCTATCATCTGCATTGGCTGAGAGTTCCATTCTATCAGAAAGTCTCACAAAATTCAGCAGCTCTAATTTTATATAGCTGACCAAAACAGAGAAAGTCTGCGTGCTGCGAACTTGTGGCGTAAAGTTTTTTACAAACCAAGAATGCAGGAATACATATTCTGGTGGCGTGTTGCTCTATTAGCGCAGTATCAAGCGCTTGCATTCAGCCTTCAGTATTCAAATGTCCGTATGATAATTCTTTGTTTTAAAAAAATAGAAATTAAAGTTAATGTTGTTATTCTAGAGCAAGGGCCGCACGACCCCCCATGGTTGCACAGCGCCTAAGGTCTTGTTGGAAATGGGTCTCTGTGTACATACTCTTAAGTTTCCATTTTCCAGCACAACGAAGTTCTAAAAAAAAATAAGTGGGGTGGGTTGGAGGTTTGGGGATGGGGGGTGTATTTTAAAGTATATGTTACCCTATAGATTTGTTTCCCATTATATTGTGATAATGCATTTTGCTGTAACAGTCCTGTTGATATTTATATGTTTCAATTGAACTGAAAGATTTTATTTCAAGTCATTGCTTCTTTAATGTTAAACAATAAAACAACATTCCATTGTCACAACACAAGTATGATTTATGTGAGTTCCTTTGTCCAATTTTTACAAATTGTATTTAGTTGTGAATGATACTTGTGATTCTAAATTGAGTTTGAATCAAGAGTAGCGGAATGTTTCATCCGGTTCAAAAGTACAGAGATTTGTTAACTGGTTCAAACTGGTGACAAATGGAGTCACGGACTATGTCAACTGGTTCAAAATTAAATGAATGTGTCGTCTGGTTCAAAATTAACTGAATGTGTCAACTGGTTCAAAACTAACTGAATGTGTCGTCTGGTTCAAAATTAACTGAATGTGTCAATTGGTTCAAAACTAACTGAATGTGTCGTCTGGTTCAAAATTAACTGAATGTGTCAACTGGTTCAAAACTAACTGAATGTGTCGCCTGGTTCAAAATTAACTGAATGTGTCAACTGGTTCAAAACTAACTGTATGTGTCGTCTGGTTCAAAATTAACTGAATGTGTCAACTGGTTCAAAACTAACTGAATGTGTCGTCTGGTTCAAAATTAACTGAATGCGTCAACTGGTTCAAAATTAATGAATGTGTCGTCTGGTTCAAAATTAACTGAATGTGTCAACTGGTTCAAAACTAACTGAATGTGTCGTCTGGGTCAAAACTAACTGAATGTGTCAACTGATTCAAAACTAACTGAATGTGTCGTCTGGTTCAAAACTAACTGAATGTGTCGTCTGGTTCAAAACTAACTGAATGTGTCGTCTGGTTCAAAACTAACTGAATGTGTCGTCTGGTTCAAGAGGAGCAGAATGTGTCGTCTCGTCTTTTCTATTAAAAAATAATAGTAATAATGGCGTATTCATTTCTTTGTAGTGGCTGCACTCTTTAGTGAAATATTTTCAACATCTAAATGATAGAAATGATAGAAATGATTCTCCGACTTTGTGAACAGAGTTATACTAATGCTTTTCCTCAAAGAAAAAAGTATAAATACATTAAAAAGGAGCAATCAACCGTCATTTGCTTGCATGCTGCTTTGAGGCATTCCAATGATTAGCACTAGATGACCCGTCATTGATGACGCCTTTCTTACTACCGTGCTCTCCAATCTTTTCATGTCGGCGACACACTTGATAGACATACGTCATTCCACGACACAGGAAGTCGGGGTGACCATGGGTTAAACCATGGTAAGCAAAGTGCGGTCCATTGGGCCACGCTGAAATGTTAGATGTAGGCCACGAGACCATCAGACAACTGCATTAATGTTTTAGTAAAATGTACACATTGTCAAATGATTTTCTGTACATTAGTGAAAAAAACATTTAGAAACTTTAATTAGTCCAATAGTATTATAATCACAACAATTTTTTTTTTAATTCTACTGCTTATTGACAAGAGAATGGGTCAAGTGAATTTTCGAAACCAATATTTAGTTATTTATACTAAATTCTCTTAAAAAGCAATAACCACGTCCAGTGATTTCATTTAAGCGTTGGAATATGACTGCTAACATTATTAGCACGGTATTTCCAAGCTCTGTCCCTCAGTGCATGACTGCGACATCACTTTACTTTTGGAAATATTGGAAGACCCCATTGATTCAAACTGTTTGCTGATAATTTTTTCAAAGTTTCACAAGTTTATTTAATAATAATAATTTTTTATGACGAAAATAATCTTAGTTATTAAAAATATTAAGAAAAAAGAGTTTGAAATTTAAGTGAGGGCGCAGAGATAAGACTAGAGAATAACTGAAGAGTTTCGAACCTTCCAGAATGACAGGACATCAACTCATGTTTTCATTGATCTCAAAACCAATGCTATTTACGTAATGTGTGTGGGATACTTGGCCGTTTACAAATAATATAATCTCGGACGACAATTTCAGACTTACCAATGACGTTTTAAAATGTATTTGAATAGAACCAAATATAAGCTAAAGAACACTGACTCACTGATGACGAGATCTCGTGAACAACAGGCCGTATTTGGTGAGAATCCTGCACGGGATTCTTCTCATAAACTAAGACAGGCCTTAAATGACCAAAGTCCGAAACATATTAATACAGAAAAGCCTTGGTTTGTTTTGTCGGGGTATTTCTTGTTTTGTTTGCGTTTGTGTTTTGATCTCACGTTTGAAACGTATTGTGCCGCATTCGAACAAGCGCTGAAGAACACGTATGTGCAACAATAAGATTCATATTTAAGTTCTCAAACCATGCTCCGCAGGGTAAATATCCCCCAATGATGTAAATTACTTTTATCCTTCAATAACATTTGATTATTGTGTTGAAATCGACGAAATTATTTCTTTAAATATTAACAAAATAAAGCCTTGGCGATAAATCCGTATTGATTTCCCAGTTGTTTAGTTGGTTTGATGACGTAGTATTTTTTATGCTTTTCGTGTGGCTTATTTATATTGTGCAAATAGCAAGGAGCGTTGGAACGACGTGAGAGGCAGTCAATGGTGAAGACAATCTAACAGACAACTAACAAGTCAGTTGCCTGGGTACATATAACTAAATATTAGTGGGAGGGGGGGGGGTTGTGGGTAAAACAAAATAATTCCGCAAACATCTGTCTGTTGTTTGACCTATACAACTCACGACAGGTGGCGTAGGAAGGGGGCGCTTAGGGGCGGTGCACCCCATTCAGCACTTTTTTCTTTATATATATAGAGTTGCGGCATTTTCAGTCAAATAGTTTAGGCTAGCCCCGAGCCGCACCAACCCCTTTGGTTCCGTCACTACTCTTGAATATCAATATCTATGACATTTAAATACTTTTTAAAACTTCTTTCTAATCGTACGGACTCATTTATTGCACTTAAGTTTTCCAAAAACAAATTCCATTTTGTTTTAAAATACTTTTCATATAATTTTATTGTACATTTCATTTTCTCAAACACCGTTACCAAAGGAAAAGGTGTTCAACATTCTAGTACATTATATTATTTGATCATGTGTTTATGAGATCCTTACACTATTATATATAACGTACGACTAAGTCTTCATTATAGGTTAATTGCATTATTAGGATGCCACTTACAAGAAGTCAATTAACTCTAGAAAATGTTCCCACGGATCCCGCGAGGAGCCTCCACCGCTGACGTCACAAGTGCCTGGTGTCATGTATCACAACCACCGTCGAGTGACGCCGCGAATGGCGGCCATCCTGGCGGTCCTGGGTGTCTCACGGTGAGAGCGGTCGGCGATTATCACGCCATCGTACGCACATTCCTGTCTGCGGTGCCGAGCGGTGGAGACACCGACCTGTGAGTGGCACGCCCCAGGCAAACACCGACTGTTTCAAATATCAATTGGTCATTGTCTGGAGTCTGGAGTCTTGTATTGGATCCTGTATCAGATTTTTTTTGTCTTCTATACCTCCTCGTGTTCAAGGGGGAGACGTAAGCAAATACGAATTCTAAATCGTTTTGAAAGAAAAAGAATATTTTGGGTCAGGCTGCAATCAAATTATTAGACAGGAAATAAGGAACACAATGCAAGAAAAGCTCCTTTTTTTCAATGCACCCAAAAACAAAACAACAAACGTATCGACAAAAAGCCTTCTTTAGTTCCTTGATACTTGAGGAGGCCTTTTGCCGACACGTTGTTGTTTTGTGGTGCCTCATTTAGATTCTATGATGTTTACCCACAAGAAGATTTGGCACACTGAAAAAATCTCTCAACAAGGAATTCTCCACACACAGAAAATTCCCCATGCGGAAAATTCCCCATACAAATGATTCCATAGACGTTTACTCATGCAGGGATAGATTAGATCATTGATATCATTGGCTCCTGCATGAAAAGAAATATTTACGAGGTACACATAAGGGAAAACAAAGCAGCCTAGTGTATGAAGGAAAACAAACATTGTGTCTACAGTCTAATTGGTTACAGGTCATTTCACAAAATGATATTAAAGGGAACTGCTGATCATCGAATTGTAAACTTGTTCCTGGGCTTCTTTGTAATCAGTGCGCTTCCAGTAGAAGGTAAAGGGGGCGATCAGCCTGCTGAATGTTCATGGTGTAGACTTCCAGAGTGTCTTTAAAAATGTTGATCAATCACCGACCGGGGTGCCTTCTATGGTAGATTTGCAAAGCAGTTTGGTTGAAAGGTATTCTGTGAGCTTTCTATTCATTGGCTTTACCAAACACCTCTTGCAACAGTTAGAAAGCTGCCAACTTGAAGGTTTGCAATGCAGTTTGGTTAAAAGGAATTCTGATCAGGTGACCAAATCCATTAATTTGCTGTTGACCCATACACTGGCTGCATGATTGTTATAGGGCACCAACCATTTGTTTGAAGTTCCTTGTTCCGAATGTTGTCCCTTCTTGTTTGACCAGCTGCTTGCCTTAAACATTTGACGTCGCAGGTGAAAGGTTTCCTCTCGATCCTAGCATTCAGTGCCCATGGCAGGTCTGATTCAGTGCCCATGGCAGGTCTGATTCAGTGCCCATGGCAGGTCTGATTCAGTGCCCATGGCAGGTCTGATTCAGTGCCCATGGCAGGTCTGATTCAGTGCCCATGGCAGGTCTGATTCAGTGCCCATGGCAGGTCTGATTCAGTGCCCATGGCAGGTCTGATTCAGTGCCCATGGCAGGTCTGATTCAGTGCCCATGGCAGGTCTGATTCAGTGCCCATGGCAGGTCTGATTCAGTGCCCATGGCAGGTCTGATTCAGTGCCCATGGCAGGTCTGATTCAGTGCCCATGGCAGGTCTGATTCAGTGCCCATGGCAGGTCTGATTCAGTGCCCATGGCAGGTCTGATTCAGTTCCCATGGCAGGTCTGATTCAGTGCCCATGGCAGGTCTGATTCAGTGCCCCCATGCCCAGGTCTCATGAAGTCAGGGCATATGAATAAAGATCGTGCTATTTAGCCTGGATCCGGTCTCCGTGCATCTTTATTCTTGGGTGTCTTGCTAGTGGCTCTGTGTGGTAGATGACTGCGTTTGCCTTTATTCTTGGGTGTCTTGGTAGTGGCTCTGTGTGGTAGATGACTGCGTTTGCCTTTATTCTTGGGTGTCTTGCTAGTGGCTCTGTGTGGTAGATGACTGCGTTTGCCTTTATTCTTGGGTGTCTTGCTAGTGGCTCTGTGTGGTAGATGACTGCGTTTGCCTTTATTCTTGGGTGTCTTGCTAGTGGCTCTGTGTGGTAGATGACTGCGTTTGCCTTTATTCTTGGGTGTCTTGGTAGTGGCTCTGTGTGGTAGATGACTGCGTTTGCCTTTATTCTTGGGTGTCTTGCTAGTGGCTCTGTGTGGTAGATGACTGCGTTTGCCTTTATTCTTGGGTGTCTTGCTAGTGGCTCTGTGTGGTAGATGACTGCGTTTGCCTTCTATGTCTCTACGCCTCTTTTCCCGTTATCGGCGAAAATGCTTCCCGGAAACGTCCTAACCTTTCAAATGTAGAAAACATGTCTTGAAAACTAAGAAATCACAGCTCCGATCGTCAGATTATTTTCAACCGTAATAAGCACAACCTTAACGTGACATCACACACAAGATAACAAGCCACAATCCTCCTTCCCTTTCCAGAATGTAGGTCTACCCAACAGCTTTTGCAACAGTTAGAAAAGCTGTCACCTTTGCTGTACCAAACAGCACTTGCAACAGTTATAAAAGATGTCACCTTGGCTGTATCAAACAGCACTTGCAACAGTTATAAAAGATATCACCTTGGCTGTATCAAACAGCACTTGCAACAGTTATAAAAGATATCACCTTGGCTGTATCAAACAGCACTTGCAACAGTTATAAAAGATGCCACCTTGGCTGTATCAAACAGCACATGCAACAGTTATAAAAGATATCACCTTGGCTGTACCAAACAGCACTTGCAACAGTTATAAAAGATGTCACCTTGGCTGTACCAAACAGCACTTGCAACAGTTATAAAAGATATCACCTTGGCTGTATCAAACAGCACTTGCAACAGTTATAAAAGATATCACCTTGGCTGTATCAAACAGCACTTGCAACAGTTATAAAAGATGCCACCTTGGCTGTATCAAACAGCACTTGCAACAGTTATAAAAGATATCACCTTGGCTGTATCAAACAGCACTTGCAACAGTTATAAAAGATGTCACCTTGGCTGTACCAAACAGCACTTGCAACAGTTATAAAAGATGCCACCTTGGCTGTATCAAACAGCACTTGCAACAGTTATAAAAGATGCCACCTTGGCTGTATCAAACAGCACTTGCAACTGCTAGAAAAGCTGCAACACTGGCTATCGCTTCAAATAAAGATCATTTAACAAATACATAGAATAAGATTTTATTATTTTCAGGATTTAAAAAATATATAATGAAGCAACTAAGAAACCTATTTCATTTTATTTATTTTGTTGGGCTTGGGGGAAAAAAAAAGGGGGGGGGGTACCTCTTGAAATATTTTCTTTAATATAGACCTAGTAGGTAGCAAAGAGTTTATTTCATTTGTACGAATTATACAACAGTAGCTTCGCTCCATGTGGGTTTCCCCAGAAAGCGCCAACACACATGTCACATCTTTAATGATTCGTATGCCAGTCTGGAAATTTAGAATGTACCTATAGAGATCAGAGTTGACAAAACTTAACATTTCAAAGTTTCCATTCGTATTTTAACTCACTGGTATTAGATACCATTGTGCGTTGTTACCCCGTGCTTCCGCTTTCTGGATTTAATTACAATGTACCATCCCGTAGATGGTGTATGTAGTCGGAGGACCCCTACCCCAATGTACCATCCCGTAGATGGTGTATGTAGTCGGGGGACCCCTACCCCTCCCCCCCCCACCCACACACACACACACAAAAGACGTCACATAGAAAGCAAGTAACTACCATAATTGACTCATCATCTAAGGGAGAAAACTCTATCCATTGGAAGTTCTCGTGCTATTCACTGTTCATCCGTGTGTATTACCTGGGGTTAAGTTTCATATTGCGTGGAAAGCCTCACGCCTCGCTAATCCCGCCTCCCAGTAGCGTATCTGCGGTTAGTGCCGACCAGGGCGGGAAAATATTTGTGCAGCCCCCTCGACAAAACACCTCGCAGCTGACCGAACCCCCCCCCCCCTTTTCAATGTATAGAGAACACACAAACATTGACCAAAGAACTACCTAAAGCAGATTTCAAAATTCAATTATTTAAGTCGTACTCATAGAAATGGAAAAGGCATGTAACGGGGGGGGGGGGGGGGGGCCCAGAATGATAAAAA